TATGCTTTCTTGGTGCACCCCCTAGTGGTCTTTGTGCGCAGTCTAGCAGGTTTGGCTCAGTGGATAGAGCATTGGCCCACAGACTGAAGGGTCCTGGGTTCGATTCCAGTCAAGGGCACATATCTGGGTTGCAGGCTCGATTCCCAGTCCTGGTCAGGGCACATGCAGGAGGCAACCAATCAATGCTTGTTTCTCTCTCTGATAGCCTCAGGCAAAGGCTAGATTAGCACCTCCCTAGAGGACAGAAGTTTTCCCACTGCAGACACAGCTGATTCTCACAGCCAGTTGGCCTGGAGGTCAAATCCCCCTAGTATTAACTACAACAATCAAGGCTTAACTATCAGACATATTTTAAAGCATTTTTATAACGACTAGTTTTCAACCTTTTTTCAACTTAATATATTATGAATAACTTTTCATGGCAGCAAGTATTCAGAAGGTTCCAAACCCAAATGCCTTCAGGAACAGACAAGAGATGTCAGCAAGTTAAGTGGGTGGAACAAGCAAGGTAACTGCCCTTGGTCTAAAAGGGCAGTTACTACTTAGCATGTCTTATCAGAATGCAATTTTTCAGAGGATGTTGAAAATTAGTATTTGTGGGAAATCTCCCCATTGTGTAAATGTTGGCAATTAATTCAAAGTTTTAAAAATACTCTGCAAGCATAATAATATGAATCTGTGGGCTAGTTTTGCCCTGTGTGCTGACAGTTTGCAACCTCTGATTAAGAATATAATTTGTAATGGCTGTCAAATGTCATGAGCATTGAATGCTTTTGATTTAGCCAAGTTGCCCTCCTATTTGCATGGAACCCAACAACTTTTATAATATGCCACATTCTCCAACTTCTCACCAACAACCTCCCACCACCACTCTCATCCACTCTGTTAGCTGCTACAGGGATTTGGGGGCGAGGGGGACGGGGAGGAGAGCGACTGGAAAAGGATTGGGACTTAATGTCAAGTGGAGGAGTTCTCTTTGCCAGCAGGTGTCTTGACATCCTGTGGCATTCATACCAGGAGGTTAAGATTTCAGTCAAATAGCACACTCATCTGAGCAGAAGATAGCCCCTGAAAGTTATCCAGCTCAGATAAGCAACAGAATTTTGAACATTTTCTATTCATACACAAGTATTGATTCTATATGCATTGAGAGAGCAATATTGTGCTTTCTTAAGTGTGTTTTTGAAAGAGAAAGAACTGGCAGGCATTTGGTTTCCACTTAAAAATAAGGCAAACGTGAATGAGTTTTATGTTTGCATGGTCATATACAAACCAGAAAGTCTTGTTAGCATACCAAAACTACCCTAATCTATATATATAAAAACCCAACAACCATTACAGCGGAACGACCAGAACGACTGGTGGCTATGATATGCACTGTGGCAGACAACCAGCCTGATCCAGGCCAGATCACCCCCAACACCCCAATCATGGTGGGGCCAGCCAGCAATTGCCTTGTTGGCAGAAATTTGGGGTCCAGGAACCTTGGAGGTGCTCGGTTTTGGGCAGCTGCAGGGGCAAGCTCTCCTTTGGCAGAAGTGGACCCAGGATCAGGGAGCCAGAGTTGGGGATGGGGTGGGGAGGCTTTCCCGGTGGATGGCCACAGCAGTCTCTATGGGCTGTGCACAGCACCCAGGCGTCTGGCCCCAGTTGGAGCTGTGGCAGGAATAGGGGCTGCGGGGCACAGGGGGCAGTGGCACACAGGAGCCAGGAGGCGTGAGGCCTGACCTGGGCTCTTACCCTGCCTGCTGGGCCCAGCAGCACCAGCAGGTGAGCCATGGTGTGCAGCAAGGTGCTGGGCCGCCCACCGGAGGGGAAGCAAGCCAGGAGGCAAGGTCCCACGCCAGCCAGAGCCCCGAGCACTGTGGGCGGGGCCAGAGATGGAAACCCTGGCAGAGTGGGCAGGGCTGCAGCCCCGAACCTTTTCAGCCTTGGCCTTGGAATTCTGCAGGCAACACATGTACTGGCTACCAGTGCGTCAGAGGTCAGCCCTGCTTCAAGGGAGAGGACATGGTGGAAAATGGCAAGGCTACAGGAGGGATAGGAAATGTTGTGGCCATCTCCGGGAAACACAGCTGCCACGGTCTTCAGTAACTATGAACAGATAATCTTTGGTCTCCATTCTACAGAAGAGGAAGCTGAGACTCAAAGAAGGGAGCCTTCCGCAACACCTCACCCGCTTCTCATACCTGAGTCTGTGCAGCATTGTTTTCATTGAAAATAGAGGATCCGAAATGTTTTAAGATCTTTGCTAGTTTGGGCAGGAAAGAATTTAGCACAGGAAATTGGTGCTTGGGAAATCATCAGAAAGCTGGAGGAGTGGGTATTAGGCTAGGCCCTCAGGAAAGACTCCCTGCCCAGTGGGAGGAGCTGCCCCCTCAGTCACAACTGAATTCCAGGACACTCTGGCACAACTGTGACCTGGGGTTCAGGAAACTGCTGCCTTCGCAAGTGCCCTCCAGTTCCTACAAAACAGGTCACTGGGCACTGCCTCTGCCACAACTGCCTGTGCACAGCCTGGATTCCGCTGCAGAAAACCTCCACATCTCTGCAAACATGGTGACCAGCAGCAAACATCCCACACTGCAGGACGATGCCTCTGCCCCACTTCTGCCTTCAAAATATTGTGCAAGCACATCCAATCGGCAGAAATGAATTCATATCCAGAAATCTAGCTGCAAAAGAGTTTGGGCAATTTCAGACTTTTGTCTAGGAGTGAGATCTTGCCAATGTACCTCATGTGCTTGGTATTGATAAAAATGGGGCCCAGCTGGTGGGGCTCAGTGGTTGAGCATCGATCTATGAACCAGGAGGTTATGATATGATACCCGGTCAGGTTTCAGGCTTGATCCTCAGTAGGGGCGTGTAGGAGGCAGCTGATCAATGATTCTCATCATTGATGTTTCTATCTATCTCTCCTTCTCCCTTCCTCTGATATCAATAAATATTTTTTAAAATGGGGTCATGCTGTATATATGTGTTATAACAAGTTTTTCACTTCATAGATCACTAATGTCTTTCCTGTTAAAACCGTACTTATAGAATATTATTTATTTATCATTCATTTTAATTGATTTCAGAAAGAAGAAGAAGAGAGAGAGAGAAAAACATTGTTCCGTTGTTTCCTGCACTCATTGGACTGGGTATTGAATCTGCAACCTGGGCATGTGCCCTGACTGGCAATCAATCCACCACTTTCTGGTTTATGGGACAATGCCATGCCAGTAATCTGACCCCAAATTCTAGCCTCCAGAACTGTGAGAAAAATACATTTCTGTTGTTTAGGTCACACAAATTTATGATATTTTCTTATGGCTGTCTGAGCTGACTAATCCTATTTAATAAAAACCCAGTGACTGAATAGCAGAATGATCAAATGACTGGAACAACTGCAGCCTCTCGCCCTGGCCGGCCCCGCCTCTGATCAGTCCCCATCAGAGTGGGCTGACTGGATCCCACCAGTGTATGAATTCATGCACCAGGCCTCTAGAATATTTATAAACACAGAAATAGTCATAGATACCTGTTAGTCCGGGTTCTTTTTGCCATGTCACAAGATGATGAAAATTTCTTTTCTTCTTTGCTGGCTTTCATGTTATTTGGCTCTAAAGATTTTTATAAACACAATTAACTGAAATGCTTCAGCATGATTTTCCTTTTTTTCTCTTTGATTCTTTTTTTTTTCTGGTTTGTGGAATTGGGTGATTCTTCTGCAAATATATGATCACTAGTTCCTTACAACAAATTAGTGCAAGTACATTTCTTCTTTTGATATTTTCTCTTTCAACTCTGCTTTTTAGCCAGCTTTTGAAAATAACTTAGCTGCTTAGCAGTGAAGGCATATCTAAAGCTTGCCAGGTAACTATATAGTTTAACAAGGTCAAATTCCAATTTAGCAAATTTGCATTCTGTCAAAACAAATTTTCTCTGTGGTTTCAACAAGAAATCCTTTAACTTTTCAAGAGATGGCTGCCCTGGGCCCCCTTTTGTGGTGGCTTATTATCAGAAATGGGGCAATTGTGCCTGAATTGGTTTTGAAACCTTTGAAAAAAATAGCTTGTGATTATTGGCCTAATAAAATATTAGCCTGAAGTATAAATGGTCTTAAATGTTGTAACTTTGAACTCTATTTGAAAAAAGATATTTGCTTTTCTAATGTATCTGTATTAACTGTATCTTTGGTAGGTTTACTGCTGTGGAACAGAATCCAGGGGTTCTGGCTGATTCATTCTATTCCCCAGTTTCCTCCAATCCCTGAAGAAGGCTATGATTATCCACCCACAGGGCGACGAAATGGACAAACTGGCATCTGTGTGACTTTCAAGTATAACCAGTATGAAGCCATAGGTAACATTAGTGTGTGCAAAAAGAGATAGCAATTTTGAAGAAGGGGCAATATTAATGTACTAGAGGCCTGGTGCATGAAATTCATGCATGGGTAGGGTCCTTAGGCCTGGCCGACAATCAAGGCCAATCAGGGCCTTCCAGATGCCGGCTGGGACCTTCCTTCATTCTGCGCTTCCCCCTGGTGGTCACCGCACATCATAGTGAGTGATAGAACTCCTGGTCGAACTCCTGAGGGGACACTTTGCATATTAGCCTTTTATATATAGATTTGGGCTATATGAATAAATTGGTCACTTCATTTGTTTCTCTATTCATAGATCTTCTGAAACCTACATTCTAATATTGGCTTTGCCATGGTGAGACCTGGGGAGGGCTCATTTACTAGAGCTAGACTGCTTTTTAAATATAGTTTCAAGATTTTTTAAAAAAAAGTACAGATCTCATGTTGCCTGTAGCCTGCCAATCTGACCCATCTGAGTCCCCAGATGATCTTCCTTTAAGGCCTCAAGCTCAAATGGTCCAATTAGTTGGCTTTGGAAAACTATGATAGATGAGGAGTAGGAGAAGGAACACCATTTTACCAATCACTTTTTACTGAGGTGGCTGCTACTAGTAAATAGCAGCAAAGAGTGACTTGCCTCTAGATAAAAGGCTTAGAAATATTTTCATCTTATGACAAGGATTTCTGAGCCAAATCAAACCCCAGTCTAACTAGTGGAGTTCATGTAATCATTAGACAGCCAAATAACATAAAGCTTAGGTGTGCACATCATGAATTGATCATTCCTGAAGCTGGAGATTAGAACATTGGTGCTCTCTCTCTCTCTCTCTCTCTCTCTCTCTATATATATATATATATATATATATAGCCTCCGATGCCAGATTGCCTGGGTTTACATAGCAACTCCATCAGTTACAAGCTTTATAACTATGGGCATGTGACATGAATTATCCATTAATTCACCTATAAAATGAGGATCATGATAAACGAACTTACCTAATAATAAGATTGCTATGAGGACTAATTAGTAAATCAACGTAATATTTGTAAAATAATGCCTGCAAAGTAGGAAATGCTGAATAGATGTCAATTATCTTAACTCAAAAGTTATTTGAAAGCTATTGGCTTAAAGAAGGGAATACTTTTGTTCTGTTTTTTAATTCACAAAAGATCTATAATATAACAAGACTTCCATTTGTATCTTAATTCTCAGATTTTCTTGATCTTTTTTTTTTTTTCAGACTCTCAGCTCTTGATCTGCAACCCAAACATTTATAGCTGTTCCATCCCGCAGGTCCAGCTCTTCAGGGACCCCTGCCCGGCACCTGGCCGCACTTCAGTCAGCCCAGGGACAAAACTTCCTCCATTTTGCAAAGTCTGATTCTTTTATTGATGGTATGAAAGACCATCATCAAACAATATGCTATATAACTCTGCTGTTGAACTCATTTGGGATTGTGTAAAGGAAATATTATGATTATTCAGGGGAAGAGAAGTACAAAACGGGGGGAAAGAACATTTTCAGACACAAGTATCATCTTAGTAATAATGATAATAACTTTTATTTGCATATTACTTTAGCATTTACAAAATGTTCTTCCATCCACTATCTCAATTATGTTGTTATTATTGTTATCTGTGACATCCACATATCAGAGATGAATGATGATTTTCATTCCTGAGGATATTTTCAGATACTTATCTAATTTAATAAAAGAGAAACATGCAAATTGACATACCTCCACTACACCCACCAGCCAATCAGGACCAAATATGCAAATTAACCCAACTAAGATGGCGGCAGCCACAGAGCTGGAGTGAGCAGGAGGCTTAGGTTCCCCCCGGCAATGGAGGAAGCCAAGCTTCCCGCCTGCCCTGCTGGCCCTGACCTCTGCTCAAGGCTTCAATTATAGAAGATAAATAAATCCTAGATACCTGCTCCTAGCCCAGGGCTGTGGTCAGCCTGAAAACGGCCATCAGCCTCTCACCCAGGCTGGCCAGGCACCCCAGTAGGGCCCCCCACCCTGAAGGGGCTGTGACCAGCCTGAAAACAGCCCTCAGCCCCTCACCCAGGCTGACCAAACCCCCATGGGGTGAGGGTACCTGCTGGGGAGCTTGGCCAGTCTGAAAACAGCCATCAGCCCCTCACCCAGGCTGGCTAGGCACCCCAGTGGGGGCCCCCACCTTGAAGTGGGTGTGGCCAGCCTGAAAACGGCCTCTAGTCCTATATAATAAAAGGTTAATATGAAAAACGAACGAACAGCGAAATGACTGGTCACATGATGCACACTGACCACCAGATGGCAGACACTTAATGCAGGAGCTTCCCCCTGGTGGTCAGTGTGCTCTCACAGGGGGAGTACAGCTGTGGTGGTGGGAGCCTCTTCCACCTCCGCTGCAGTGCTAAGGATGCCCGACTGCTGGCTTAGGCCCACTCCCCATGGGAAGCAGGCCTAAGCCAGCAGTCGGACATCCCTCAAGGGGTCCTGGACTGCCAGAGGGCACAGGCCGGGCTGAGGGACCCCCTGAATGCACGAATTTCATGCATCAGGCCTGTAGTCTAAGCATAAATACTAACCTAACTATCTTTCTCCTTATAAACTCTAGACATTTTTGCAGCCTGGATGGCTCAACAGTTGAAGACACACTTGCTTACCGAAACCTGGCAGAGAAAGAGACAAGAGCTTCCTTCAAACTGCTCCCTTCGTTACCATGTCTACAATATCAAAGCAATTAAGATATCTGGACAATCTTATTTCAGTTCTTATCAGGATCATGCTAAGTGGTGTGTTTCCCAAAAGGGCACCAAAAATCGCTGGACATGTATTGGAGACCTAAATCGCAGCCCATATCAAGCCTTCAGAAGTGGAGGATTCATTTGTACCCAGAATCAGCATATTTACCAAGCATTTCAAGGTTTAGTTTTGTATTATGAGAACTGTAACTAAACTTGATGAATGGACATATGTACTATTAATTTCAACATTGACAATGGATCTTCTCCCATTAGATTCCTTCTGTATATATTAAAGCCTGTGAATGTACTTAAAAATCCACATCTTGTCAAGCAAACACTTTTCTCCACATATTGTCAAGCAAAACACTTTATCTTCTAACTAGAGGCCCACTGCATGAAATTCATGAACTGGGGGTGGGGGGATCACTCAGCCCGGCCTATGCCCTCTCGCAGTCCAGGACATCCTCTTGCAGTCTGGGACCCCTAGCTCCTTACCACCCACCTACTCGCTGCTCCTAACTGCTTGGCTTACTGCTCCTTAGCACTGAACCAGAGGTGCGAGAGGCTCCCACCACTGCTGCTGCGCTCACCAGCCATGAGCCCGGCTTGTGGCTGAGCAGAGCTCCCCCTGTGGGAGCCCACTGACCACCAGGGGGCAGCTCCTGCATTGAGCGTCTGCTTCCTGGTGGTCAGTGTGCATCATAGGGACGGGTCATTCTGGTCTTTCCACCGTAACTGTCACTTAGGCTTTTATTATATAGATTGGTGGCAATTTACCTACTTTGCATTTATATTCTCTATACATAAACTATCATATATAACTAAAATGAGAATAAAAGAAAAAAACATTTGCTCCAGATTAGTCAACTCTCAATTGTTCATGGAGTGATTGGCAATCTTACAGATTAAATTTCATCTCCTTCACAGAGACTTCTCTGACTCTCCTGCCCACCTTTTTTTCTCAAGTGGGGAGGACAGAAACCTCTTTCTCTGTGTACTTCATACTATTTGCTCCTATAGCTCTTAATTTTCTTTCTCACTGGTTTATGGTTAAACTATATCATTCTTGCAGCTGCTACTTACTAACTATATGACCTTGGATCATACACTTGAACTCTCTGAGCCTTGGTTTTCTTATCTATGAAATGGATATAAGAAACCTAACACAGAGTTGACAATACTGTGGAATTTTAATCTGAATTTCCACACTCAGCAAGAAAAGACAAAAGAAAGTTTAGAATGAGTAGTATGGTTAAAAAAAATTTTAAATCAGATTAGGAGAAAGGAATGAAAAAGCACCTAAGTCTAGCCCATCAACTTAGGGGAAAAGAAGTGTATAACAAAGAAACCAGAACAAAATCTAATACTTTCAACTCCAGGATGCTTCATATTCTGTAATTCTTATTAATAAACATAGCTGTTATATAAATCAATAATAATAAATATATATTAAGTACTAATTGCTTCATAGAGTTTGAGATATGGTTCCTAACTTTAAGAAGTTTACAACCTAGCAAAAACCTAGTAATCACATCAGGAAGGATTGCAGAATAACTTGTTTCTTTTTTATTTGCACTTTGTTATTAAGACTTACTAATTATAAATACTAACTTCACTAACTTTCTCCATATAAACTCTAGACATCTTTGCAGCGTGGATGGCTAAACAGTTGAAGACACATTTGCTTACCGAAACCTGGCAGCGAAAGAGACAAGAGCTTCCTTCAAACTGCTCCCTTCCTTACCTGTCTACAATGTCAAAGCAATTATGATATCTGGACAATATTATCATCATCATCATCATTATTATTATTATTATTATCATCATTACTTAGTAGTGTCCTTGCCTGTGCCTTAGCATTGACAGCTGGTAGCCTTGAACACCAGAAAAACAGTCCTGGTTCTGCGGTCCAAGTTTCTTAGGCTTGTTACCATTTCCATTGCCAAGAACACTGTTCTGATCAGACATAACTATCCTTTTCCAACTTCATGGCTTCCACCAAAATTGACATCCTAGTATTCTGAAGGAATTAACCTAACAGCTTCCAAAGTGTCTCTTTTGTCCTCATGAACTAAGTCACTTTTTCTGTAAAATGTGGCTTTGACCTTGATGTTGAAGACTTAACTTATCCCCATCCACACAGAGAGGGTTATTACTTCCCTCCCTACTAGTGAGAAAAATGAACCCCATTAACATTTCCAGTGTCCCTTGAGAGGTATAGAGGCTCAGTATTATCATGTGGCATTTGCTATTTTTTTTAAAAACTGCATGTCTCTCACTTAGACAGCACTTTTATTTTTTATACCTACACTAGAGGCCCGATGCACAAAATTTGTGCAAGAGTAGGCATTCCTTCCCCTGGCTACCAGCACCAGCTTCTTCTGGCACCCAGGACCCAGGCTTCCCTCGCAGCCCTGGCTTCAGAAGGTCATCTGATCTAATTAGCATATTATGCTTTTATTATCATAGATAGTCCCAGTAGTTCAAGGATACCAAATACTTGGGAGGAAAAAAAATACATATCTTGGTCTTGGAAGTTCCCTGTGGTGGAGCTTAGAGGCAGTCACAATAAATGAAAGTGAGCTAGCATTGCTGCCTTTCTCAACATATGCCCAAGAATGCCACCCAATTATGATGATTCCTGTGGGGAGACTGAAATATGTCTTTAGGAGAATGACATTATTGGAAGGCAACTGAAATATATGAGAATATGGAGGAGGTTTTTGTTGATTCTCTTTGAGTGAAATGGGAGGATTTGGGAGAGATCAATTAATGGAATTTAAGTTCTAAACGACGGTTTAAAATAAGCACTAGAATGAAAGACTCATATCTAAGATGGGAGTATATCTTACAAAGAAGTATAGGATGTGTTTGGCTGTAAACAACTTTGTGATAGTGGAGAAAAAATAAAAATAAAAAAACCACAACCTATGGCACTAAATAGAGAAGAGGAAGGCAGTTCTAATATGAAAATCCCAAATCATTTTTGCTGTGCCCCATACCTGTCTTAGAAAAACTATTTTCCACAATCTGTTGGTATCCTCCAACTCCAGCTCCAAATAACTGGACTAAGAGTTGGCCTGTGACACCAAAGAAATTAAGCCATAGGCCAAGCCAAGGCAATCAGATTTGAGAGTGAGTTTAAAGCAGGTGTGCCAACACTGAGTTTTGAGGATAGGGAACTGCATCTGGAGGGTCGTGTCCATTGAAGATAACATCACCATTTTCTGCCTTGTGCACCGTAAAGCAGAGGATGCCGGGCTGCAAAGGCTGGAGAATGGTGCAAACGTACCACAAGATTAAAGGAGCACAGAGAGAGTGATATCAGTTCCCAACTTAGTTCCTTGTAGAGCCCAGTTATTCTCCCTGGTCACATAGTCTATGACATACCCCTATATCCTTTCATCAAATGCCTCATTTTAAGTTTAAGTTAACTTGAGTAGGTTCCTGTTTCTTGCAAGCAAACAATTCTTCTCTAAATCACGTAGACACAAGAATAACTATGTGAATGTAGTACCAAATCATCTCAATTGGAATAATAATTGAGAAATGGGTCATAGACAATTCTCACAATTTCACAATCTCAGGTGTTATACATGCCAACACAGAATATCGATTATTCTGTGTTCGTATGTAAAATGGGAAGTAAACTTGAAATTGTAGAATGGAATAATAAATATGCTTCATATGAAGCATTTTGTGGGATACAATAAGAAAGAATAATGAGCCCTAGCTGGTTTGGCTTAGTGGATAGAGCGTCCCAAGTTTGATTCTGGTCAAAGGCTTGATCCCCAGTAGAGGGCATGCAGGAGGCAGCTGATCAATGATTCTCTCTCATCATTGATGTTTCTATCTCTCTCTCCTTCTCCCATCCTCTCTAAAGTTAATAAAAAAATAATTAAAAAAAGAAAGAATAATGATAGAGATTCAAATATTCAGACATTTACTAAGGGTTTTATTCAACCAAAATAATTATTTATTAACTTTTGACTTAATATACTGACAATTTCATTTCCCAAAGAGTAGATGAAATGACCAGACCTTGAGATTTGCAAATGAGATGAAATGAAAGTAATAGTGCCCTGAAGAAAAAGATCCCAGGATGATTAGTATGGAAAGAAAAGTTGAATGTAGTCCAAGTTTTAAAAGTCTGAGATTGAGATACAAAAGAAAATATGATTCCATGGCAGAAGACTCTTAAAAGGAATGCAGTTCAAGAGGTTAAGAAGTTATCAAAAATAAAATTTTGACTATATGACTTCTCTCTGAGAAAGAAAAAGAGAAAAAGGTCTACAGAAAGCATTGTAACTATATAGCCTATTTTCTCACAAGCGCATATATCACTTAGGTGCATACAAAGCATGGGAGGAAAAGGCCAATGAACAGAGAAGAGTAAAAGAATGGCATCAACCTCTATAAAGAATTATGTGAAACCACGAAGTTATTTGTTACAAAAAATGTGGTTAACAAAAAATATTCATATTTATTTTGGATCAAGATTACATTAGAATTAATAGTAGTTTGTAAATACCTAAAAAAGTCTTTTCAGTAAAGATGAATGGTATTCAAACTGAAAAGGTATGGAAAAAAATGGTCTGAGACAACAAAATCAAGGCCACTGTAATGTAATTTTAAAAGATCACTCAGCTCCATCCAGTGAGTTTATGTTTCCAGGCCCAATCTTTTATAGTGAAAACTACTGAAAGACCAGAAATCTTTGAGAAAACATGGAAGACAGACAAATACCATTTCAATTTTCAAAACTAGAAGATCTGTTCTTCAGTGTAATCCCCAGCATGATTTTTTGGTGGATCTTTAAAAGGCCAGATTGCAAACCCTTGGAAAATGATCAACTAGACCATCTGAAGGTGTCAGCATGAACCAGGTTCTCAAAGAATTAGGCATCTCTGACTACCTCACTTCTTTTTTGGACAAGAGTTACAAGACTGGTTGATCATAAAATTGTAGTATCCTTGGACTGCAACAGAATGAAGCTCTCTCTTGATATCCTTATCGTCAAGATAATAACTTGGGGTGAATTTGAGTACAGTCCAATTAATTTTATGCATTATCCAAAGAGTAGTGATAGTGTCAACTTGAAAGGAGGTTCTTGGTATCATACCAAAGTGCTCAAGCATTTTTCCCAATTTAATCCATCAAGCATACTCTAGACTAGACACTGTGTGAGTAAAAGAATCAACACTGAACAAGACAGACAGTCTCTGCTCTTACAGATCTTATATTTGCTCCATAAACATTTTTATATGACTTTGGTGAGTATTCAGAAGATATATTTATTAAATTTGTATATGCTAAGCA